TTGACCCTCACTGTTGTGGTTAGGATCTCACTCGATCCCATTCTGTCCGCCCGCCAGCTTGCTACTGGCGACGACGAACGTTGTGTCAGAGGACACATACCACATATAATACATGAGCAGCTCGCTAAGTGTGCAACAGGCCAGACGCAGACATGCTTATATACCTCACTTCATAAGGCCTATGACGTACTGATGATCGGTAACGACCGTGAAACAGCTGTCTGCGTCTGGCCTGTTGCACTCTTAGCGAGCTGCTCATGTATTATATGTGGTATGTGTCCTCTGACACAACGTTCGTTGTCGCCAGTAGCAAGCTGGCGGGCGGACAGAATCCGATCGAGTGAGATCCTAACCACAACAGTGAGGGTCAAACGCCCACTTGACAGTGTTAACTCTGTCTGAACGAACGAGAGAGAGAGAGAGAGCGAGAGAGCGAGAGAGAGAGAGAGAGAGAGAGAGAGAGAGTGCAGGGAGAGGCCAGACGGCACCTGCTCCACGACTAATCTTTCGAGTATGTTTTTCAGCTTCAGCCACTGAGAAGTCACACAAGAGAGAAGATTGTACTCGATGCTAATGGATGCAAAATCGTTTGAACACGGACATAAGAACCCCCGTACTAGAGGTTGCAGTTCGTTAACATTCGAGAACTTCGCCTGTTCCCCTGTCCAGTCCTGAACCCCAACAAATAAACTTCTGTGGAAGTTAGCGCAAGACCACCTGTGTAATACGGGCGCGATGGTATTTATAACAGTGACTTACCTAACAAATCTATTTATTGAGTTCATGACTGTGCAATCCTGTCTTGGCGTGTTCCGTTAGCCAGCGAGCTGTTTAAGATTACTCCTAATTCCGAGAAGAATATTCAGAAGGAGAGGACAATATCTGTCTGATGGACAGGTGGTTTTGTCTGGTGGGGCGTGCACGTTCTCCATACCGTCGTGTATGCCAAAAAGCCCAGGGCAGGGGGGGAGGAGAGAATAGCTGTTAGGTTTAACCGCAACATTTTCGTAACGATAATAGCGATTGAAAGTTCAATTTAAGATTTATTATCATAATTACTGTTGTTAGAACATTACCAGATATTAGAAACTTAAAGTAGACCAGTAGACAAACGGTTTGGAGGGAACGGTCGTCTCTCAGGTCCAGTTAACTAGGTCCACTTAGAGTTTGATTGCGGTTTTGGAAGAGACCGTAAGATAGAATGATCTGAGCCAGGCTCTGCTCCCCCCTCCCCCGCCTCCGGCCTTCTTAATTCTGTCTTGGCACCGGGTCCAGTGGGGAAGAGAGAGTGCAGTAGACGCTGCGCAAGTCTACTATCACTATAAGCTAATTCAAGCACAAGTGGCCGTGTCTGTTTCACCGTTTACACGGTGGACATCATCGGCTACGACGATCAAGCTGTCATTTTAACACATGCAACGTCCGGGGGGGGGGTATTTAGTTAGAACGTGCCAAAATAAGCTTTGGCAAGAGTACCGAAAGAAACAGAATGTTCGAAGTCCAGCAGAATATGTGAAAGTTCGCGTGATCGTAGAACAAAATGTTCGCAGGGGACTTAGACGCTTTTTTGGACAGTAACACAAAAAGGGGTCTAAGATGTCTTCGTAGATCGAGGGATTGCAGATGACTGTCATAAGGGCTGAGAGGTCAAGTAAGCGTCTCTATTTTTTGCAGCCCTTCTGACTGACGGAAAGAGTAATTTTTTTGTTTCATCCACTTCCCAAAGGCATTCTGCCCGTTTGAAAGCATCATCGGCGGAAGAACGACCAGGTCCACTTCAACCGCGTCTCCTGAAGCCAATTAATACAAGTTTTATTAGAGTCTTTTGATGGTGGGTGGAGGCCCATGTTCCATTGACAGCTTGGCCGTTAATTTCGCAATGTCCACCGTGTACTCCCCAGCAAGGTGAGAGAAGGGACGGCGACTTGTGCGTGAATCAGCTTATAGTGGTTGTTATATGTGCAAAACAGAAGGTTAGTTGTAAACATGACGTGTACTGAGTACGAGAGACAGCACAAGTGCGGAGTCCTGTAGAAATGGCTAGGTATACGGCAGAGGGGGAATGTCACAGGCTGAAGGGTGTCCAGTCAGCTCCAAGGTTGTCTGAACGGGGGTACACGACCTTGGTCGCGCGCGCATTTGGCCTGACGTCTAGACAGTCCAGGCAGCATACGCTGCATCTCTCC